TTTCCCATTCTCACAATAAATCAGGATCTCCTAAACTTTCAGACTAGACTAATATTTTGTCTAGAAAACCTATTTCCATGCTAAAGGCACTACAGATGACTAAGGCATTTCATTCGCTACAAATGACCATGTCAGGCTCTAGTTGGATCCTGGCTAAAGAAAGGCACAAACTAGATGAAGGACATGTGCTCAAGGACGCATGTGGATACTCACTCGCATGAAACCCAGCTTTAGCTGAACAACGTCAATGAGAAACAATTACAGCAAAATGATGAACAACAATGGAAATGGAGAATGAAGAAAGAAAATGAAGCGAGGCAGACACTACATATGATGACACATTAAATGATACAAAAATATTATGGCGATTAAATTTATATGCTTGGTCACATCATGACATGCTGCAAGGCCTCTTTTTATTATATTGTGATCACTGTAGTTTTGTTGAGTCCAGTCTCAACGGTTTTACTGTTACTTCCATAACTTCTTAACTTACCATCCACTACATAGTCATTATGCCAAAGTCCGCAGATGTTGAACTCCAACAGAAACCTGTAAGTTTCGAAGTGAGGATACATTTTTACTGGCAAATCAAATTACATTTTAAATGAATAAAATAGTTCATGTTCCCCCTGGTTTCACAACCTCAAACAGCACTTACATCACAAAATGTGAGAAGAACCATTTTATTATTGCCAGCAGACCGTAGAAAGGCTGTGAGATGAACAGAGGTGGATTGTCAACAGTGTCAGCACAATATAGACTGCATTATGCATTAAAAAGATACGTTTCTCTCTAATAGATGCTAAGGTGTTCGTACGCTGAGCAGTGGTCGAGCTCCACTAGCGTGATGATGGGCGTTCTTACACATGGCCTGGTAGTCATACAGAGTCACCCTGCAGAACAATATACAGTAGCATTACTTCATGTTCAAATTTTCAAAGTACCACTAAACTTTAAAGGAATAATTCACCAAAGAATAACATTTATTCTATTCTATTCTATTAATTTATTAAATAAATAAATAAAAACAGTATGGAGTCCAGTTACCTTTTAAACAAGCCAGATTTTTGTAATTGGGCCATGACTGATCCATCTATTTCCCCGAAGAATTTACCAACCTGTGTGAAACAACACAGAGTCACGGAGAATAAAGCATACAGTGAAGGATTACTCAGGTTTAGCTATACAGTATGACACAATATGAAATCATTTCTGAATGCCATGATTAATAAACACACACACACACCTACGCACTCATAGACAGACAGATGTGCTGTGATCCAGATGTGCAAACAGATGCCTGAATCTGCCCTGTCTGCCCCACGGCAATCTGGGATTAGACTCCATAAACATTAATCTCCTGGCTACTGCTCACATAGCTACAGTGCATGTGTTGCTCTAAACCAGAGCATGTGAGCGAAGCGGAGCGGTGTGACGCTCCGCTA